TCCAAATTTCTACCCCTAAACACTTCAACACTCCTTTCAGATTGTGTTTCACAAAAAACTTTCTGTAATGACAATAGAAAATCTTCAATTTGTTGAAGGATATGAAAGAGATATTGAATAGAATTCATAAACAAATTATTTTTTTTTGTCGAAGAATTATTGGAATGCAATTGTGTGTACGTTATCCTGACACTTTTCTTAAAGAAACTCTATAAGATCACAGATAAAATAATAGTGACAAATGTAAGACTTCAAAGAAACAGTTTCTGCTTACGCATCCATGTTTGTTCATAAACATTGATCCGTTCTTGTAATAGAAGGCATTCTTTCTCCTTCGAACTATATACGGAAAATGGAACTGATACTACACCACGTGGTTTTTTAATCTTCTGATTAACATTTGAATTTAAATCAATTTGTGCAAGTGGTCGTTTACCAGAAGAATTAGATTTGACTAGATAAAAAATATTTAAACATTTACAAGAGAAAACAACGGAATGTACCAAGTGATTCATCGTTTGTGGTAAATGATGATGTATCACGTTCTTGTCCTTCTTCATCATCAGTATCAAGTGATTGACCACTAACACCATCAAGTTTCTTGTCAATGGACTTTTGTTCATCAATGTTTTCTTCAATAGTAATTGACGATTGTAATGGAATTCGTTGAGATTTATTTGCTTCAATTGTTTGATCTGTAATGTTATTTTCGATGATAAACACTGCACTCAAACATTCAGATTCGGTACCTAAAAAAAATTCTAATTATCCATTCAATTGGATTACGTTTATACGAACCGACAGCTAAGACAACACCACGAAAACGCTCTTTCGAACTATTTTGCCAAGTAATTGCAGTACCAACTTCAAGTTTTGCGGATTTGTTTACGAGAGAAACATTTTTGTAATCGACAATCGACATGATTTGTGATGTTTCATCACGAACAAGAACCATTATTTTACGATTGATTTCCGATTTTTGTTGGACTTGACCAACATTGGATTTATTTTTATTATTAATTTTCGGAGCCATTATATTCAAAATGAACGAAGAATTTTCTGAAAAAAAAAAATTGATATTATTTCCATTTTTCTTTTCAATATATTTTCTAATGAAAAAGTGAGCACGATTTGGTAAAATAATATCTAAAATGGTTATTTATTGGAAAATCTAGAATACAATCCGGAATATGCATATATGATTAGATTGACTGTATCAACCGTTTACAAAGTAGAATCGAATGTTTATGTAAAATAAATACGTTAATGTCGACTTGTTCATTAGTTCATAAATAAACCGTTAAGTAGAATAAATAAGATCCACCAAAGTGATGGTTGTACATCTGAAAATAAAAACAAGTTATTTTCGAGACGATTCTATTGAATTAATATTACGGTACGAAAAAAATATGAGAAAAAATGCAATTAAAGTGGTTTTTAAACCTGTAGATGGCGTTTGATGTCCGACTTATATTTCTGATTTATTTAGTATCATATCAAATATACGTTTCTAATGAAGTTTCAAATCTTATTCCAGTTTTCGTTCGAATTTTTGTTTCGAGAAGCAAATGCATATGGGCAGTTGACTTTCCAAGCTTAGTACCTGATATGAAAAACAGTATATCAAAAGCGATTGCTGCTTTAATAATATAAAAAACAATAAACTGTTTTGATCAGATTGTTTTTGTCGTATTACAGACTCAAGCATATGTAAAAAAAATGAACAGCATTAACTAAGAACTCTTTATTTGAATAGATTTTATTGGGACCATATTTGGTTTTTATCAGTTATAATTAGTTTTATTGCGCCAACATATCAAAATATATTATTATGTCTTTTAACTAATTTTATTCAATTATTTTTTTATTTTAACTGATTTTGGTGAATTATGTTAGGTATCAATCTATTTTAATAGGTTTTACCTATTTATTTCTTTTGCAACAGATTAGTTTTATCTGTTAGTCGATTATAATAGGTTATTCTCATACAACTAAACAATTCTAATCAATCGTTTCGAACTTTAATCCACATTAACAGGTTTTTTTAGATTAATCTTCTTTTAACTAATTTAAAAAAATTTTTGTATGTAATTGCGCCATTTCAATTTGCAATAACTTATATAGGAGTTCCAACTGAACCATAATTGCTGGCAATTAGTTCAGTGGTGTCGTCATGGCTTATTGCATCAAGAACTACTGAAGGTATCTTGTTCGAATCTCCAAACGGGCGTATATCTAGACAATGTTTATCAAAAATTGGCATTAGAGTATAATCGATTAATGTAAGTAGCTTTAGATTAAAACAGATTAATAGGTAGTAATAAGTTAAAACTGATTAGGTAAGTACCTATAGATTGAAACCGATTATAGTAAGTAGTTATAGATTAAAATAAGTTAAGGTAAGTAATTGTAGATTGAAACAGATCGGTCAATAGTAGTTGACTATAATAGATTAATATAGACAAATACAAGTTAAACAGATTATCATATATAAACTGATATAATCAATTATTTTTAGATTATTGATCGATTATAATGGCACTATTATAATTCGATTTTAACAAAATTTAAAAAAAAATTTCAATCTATTATAATAGATTTTTAATTGCACATTTCATTATAATTGACTACCCTTAAGTTATTAATCGATTATAATGGCACTATTTTAATCAGGTTCTAATCGGATTTTTTGTTTGAAAATAATCAATTATAATCAATTAAATAATTTTATTAATTATAATGGATTATTTTTGAGGAAAAAATCCGATTAGAATCTGATTAAAATAGTGCCATTATAATCGATTATTAATCATACTGTAATCGATTATACTCCGATTATTTGTACTCATTTTTTTACATGGGCACCCACCCACACCCACACCCACACCCACCCCACACCCCCCACACCCCCCACACCCACACTTAATAATATATATGTTATTAAGTATGGACAATAATCTGTGAAAGCTTGGCTTGTGTTAAATGCAAGAACAGGAAATTTTGTAATCACTTCAGAACTTCTGGAATATTCCTTATATATGCTTATGAAAGAAATAGTACCTATAATAGTATATCTTTTGTCTTTTTATTCGATATGAGTATTCATATTGGTTAAAGATTCACAAATTGATTGTTTCAAATATTTTGTGGAACTCACATATATTTTCGAAGAAAATCGTGAGTGTAAGTTTTAAATCGAGGTTTTGCGGCGCCCCTCCCACCCTCCCCCCTAAGTCCCCACCATTACAGACCTTAGCAACCGGGGTTACAGGTCAAAAGTCATTGAGTACATTTCCCTAGCAACGGAGGATAATAAGAACTGACTTCTTTT